ATAATATTTATAACAAAATAAGTAATATTTTTTTTGTTATTGTGAGATTTCTAAGGCCCCGTCAGTTTAAATTTTGGTAACATTTTAGGCGCTACTTAATATGTTGATAATATTAATAACAAAATAATTAATTAACCTATTTTGTTATTATCGGATTTCTAAGGCCTCAACACCTTTAAACAGGTGCAACCTATTACGTTAGATAGGTGTTACCTAATATGTTATTTCGGTTGATAATATTTCCAGTAATTAACCTAAATTATTGAATTCAATATTTTTGGCTCATTTTACATACAACAATATAATTTCTGATTATTATCACTATTGTTATCAACACAAATAATATTTCCGGTAAAAAAACATATGATATTTTCGTTAGCGCCGATCACCTATTTAACTAATCACGTCATTTTTAAACCGTATTTTAACCGCTTTACACCATAATCTCCCAGAAGAATGATGAAATCAATGCAATGGAAGTATAGATTATAAACAAGTTTAGAGAAAGGACAACAGTTGCTAGGGTTGTCCAATGTGTGTGTTGGGCACAAATCTGCAAATGTGGTAGCTATTGGAACCGTTATTGTCTGAAGGAGGGACATTCACTCATTCATTAAGTTGGATTAAATTTAGTTGTCGCCACGAAATGAATGGTCCCTTTTGGACTCCCTTTTTCTTGTTGTTGTGGGCACCAAAACTTGGTCATTATTTTGTCATGTCATTTGGAGGATAAGACATTATAGTTAAGTTATCATAGTTACGTTGACATTCCCCTACTATTAGTTTTCTTCACGTGTAAAGTTTCACACTATCAGTCCTCAAACTTTTAAACATTTTAATTTCATCCTCAAATTATGATATTTATTGTAAATTTGTCCTCAAAATTTTTAAACATTTCAATTTCATTCTAAATTATACGTATATACTAATCACATCCCTTGTTAATAAAATTGTTCGACCAAGTTATATTACTATATTTAAAAAAAATAAATTTTAAGTTAAACTATGGTTGAATCTAATTACATGCTTGGATGAATTTGGAAGATTTAAAAGTTTGGGACCAATTTAGAATTAGAGTCATAGTTTGGGGATAAAATTGGAATGTTAAAGTTTAAGGACTAATTTAGAATAAGAGTCATATTTTGAGGATGGAATTGGAATATTCAAAAGTTGAAGGATCAAGGAATGAAAGTCATAATTTGGTACATATGATGCTGCAATTAACTCATGTAATAATAATAAAATGTTAATATATTAAGAAAGTAACATGTTTAAAGTTGGAGTTTCATTTTTATTCATGTTTTTGAGAGTGACATGTAGAGGCAAATGCAAAGTATGGCACTAAGATCTTAGCTCTATCTTCCACAAGTGTACTTTGGATTAAAGCACCGTAATCTTACCAAATTGGTCATGCATCCTCTACCTTCCATGGTGGTAGGTGGGAACTCAATGCCTTTTTCTCAAACAAAAAAAGAAAAAAAGGAAAATAAATTCATCTTTGACTTTTTCTCTTGTTAGTCCTATAATTATGTATCACATTATCGATTACATACTGATAAGTGCTCAAAAAGGCTTCCCTTTGTTTTTGTTCTACTTTCCCTGGCTCAAGTTTCACCTATAGATTTTTTTTACTTGCTTTTATATGTTTTACTACTACGTGACTTTGCTTGTAAAATTTGGTTTCAATCACACGATCACTAAGGGTCCGTTTGTTTCATGTAAAATATTTTTTAGAAAACGTTTTTCTTATTTTTCAGTGTTTGGTTGGAGGAAAACATATTGGTCAATGTAAAACATTTTCATAGTCAACAGAATTTTCTTTCAAATTTTCTGGAAAATGACTTACGATTTAATTTTCCGTAAATTATTTTCCAAACTTTTCACTTCAAAATATAAATACTCAAAATAATATTATTTTATAAATTTAATATTAATATGATATTTTAGTATCATTTTAATAAAACTATTAATTTTTAACATATTTAAAATATATTTATTAATACTTTTAATAATATAATATAATATAATAATAATATTGTTACAATAATATACTCAATTATATTATAATAATATATGATACTATTATATTATTATTTTAATAACATATAATAAAAATTCCTTAAAATATATTTATTAATAATTTTAAAATATAATATAATATTTTTATTTTTATAGATATTTAATATAATTTATCATATTTTTATTTTAATAGAATATACTACAATCAATATTTTTATTTATAAAATTATAGAAAAAAATATTTTAATAATAATATTAGTATAAATATTATTAAATAAATTATTCTAATATTTTTAAAATTATAATATTAAGTTTTTATAATAAATAATATTATTTATTATATTTTATATTTGTAATAAATAATTTCTAAAAATATATCAACTAGCGAAAAATTAATTTATACAATATCTTTCAAACACCAAAAAATATTTTTAAGAATATGTAATTTATTTTACGAAAAATATTTTATGAAAAATATTTTTGGTGAAATAAATACCAAAAAAATAATTAATTACACATGTTAATCAATAACCATCATTAGATTCCCCTACCCTACCCATAGATTTATTGGGGTACCCCCACCCATTCACTAAGTTCGAGTCAAGGACATATGACTCAAAAGTAAACTTACACCTCTCCTAATTATATTTAGTATTAAATTTAACCTCCAACATTTATTTTGGTCTATATTTTTTCTATGACATTTTAATCTTAACATCTCGTTATGAGACAAAAAGTCCACCTATGGATAGAAATAATTAGTTAATAAATAGTTAATCCTTTAAAATAGAGTTTTTCTTTTTACTTAAAATAAAATATCGAAGGCCAAATTCTAAAAAAAAGAAGGTCAAAGTGTTTATTTGATCAAATATTAAGGTATTTTTATCTTAAAATAAAATTTTGAGACAAAATATTCTAAAAAAGAATAAGAACTAAAACAATCATTTTAATAAAATATTTGATAATAATTATAATTTCCAAATCATTAAACTGTGTAAAAAATATTGTCGAACCTGAAACGGTTTTGATAAATAATATATGTGTTATCAGTATTCTTTATAGTGATAATAATTTTAAGTCTGTTTTATAAAAAAAAATTCCCATGCAAAGTGGGGTAATCATTCTACTTATTGTTAAAAGAAAACTATTTATTTATTTATTTGATTCTTATAATGCCATGCCCATATAAAAACATAAATAAAATGAATAAATCATGATTACGCCTGTTAATATAGTCGGCAATCTTAATTAATTACTTCCGACAATTTGAATCTTTTAGCCCAAAGCAACAATGTTTACTGATTATTATTTTTCTCCATTTTTTAACCTCAATATTTTTTTTCATCATGTATTGAGTAAATTTTGGACTGACTCTGTCATTTGATTTCAAAAAATGGGATATAATAATGAGCAATGGCAAGCAATAATAACATAATATGGCCATTGAAAAAACATATGATGGGATCTGTAACATAATGTTGAATTGGTATGGTGCAAGAAGTTATAACTCATGAACATGTCATTTTGAAATATATAAAAAATATATAAAAAATATGAAACTTTAAAATAACTTTTAACATATAATAAAATTTGATTCGATTTATTTTTAGTGGAGAAAAACCAGAAGTAAATACAATTTTTAGTGTAAAATAGATATTTTTAAATTACGTTAGTTCATTATTAAATTGATATGTTATTTAAAGTTTAAAAATTAAATTGATATTTTATTTAAAATTAATACATTAATCATACTAATACTATCTTTATGTGTAAGATCTATTTTAACAAGAAGAAGAAGAATACTAACTTTTAGAATATGAGTTCTATAAATTTTCTTATTAACTTTTAATTAATATTGAGTAGCTAAATTTGTTCAAAAATTATATTACAAGAACAATACAGTAGAATGAACTTATTTTTGGTTAATAAAAAAATAAAATCTTAAATTTCAACTAAATTAACCAAGTACGATAATACATTAAATAATCACATATTTTATAATTTTATTATCAAATACAATCGTGTATCACATAAATTAAACATCCTTACGATATTAGTTAAATCACTCATCGATTGTTATATAATTCGTATCTAAATAAATTTCATTTTAATTTAATTTTTCATTGGAAAAAAAGTTTACGTAATTAAAAATCAAATAATAAATGTTTGTTACATATGGTAAAAACAACTTTTTAATATCTTAGTGAAAAAAAGAGAAAAAGGATAAGCACTAGAGGGGATGAATAGTTGATGGTGGCATAAAGGAAAGAAATGGATAGAAAAGATTGGCAAGAAAATGAAAATATAAGATGAACATTTCTCTATTGTGAAATCATTTTGTTTGCCACAATATAACATTTGGTTAGAAAGTGTTCTCAATCACTCCATTTAGAGAAAAAAAATCATTATACATTGCACATAAATTTTGAATATTTAATTTGGAATTTGTAGGATCAATGTATTATTTACATACTTTAAATATATATTTTTTCAAATTTTAATTTTGTGAGCTCTAATTTGAAAATGTTAGAAAATGTTGTGGGCTTTATTAACCAAATAATAGTAGCAAGCATAAGGTTAGGGTTTGAGATGGAGAATAAAAGCTTTAGATAGAGGCGATGAGGGTTTTAGGATTTTTTTTATGATGGTGAAAAAAATGAACTTTTAAAACTTTTAAGGATCGAATTTATAAATTAATATTTTTGTATTAACATGTCATATTATCGAATTAAAAGTAGTTAAGGACTCAATGACCAAAATAAGGTAGACTTATAACATAAATGACCAAATCGTTAATATTTAAAATCCATAACTAAAATAAGATAAATAAAAAATAAAAGTGACCACATGTGTGCTTTATCCTTAAATAAAATAACTTTATTAACATTGCGAAAGTCACTAAACTGCGCTAAATGCGTATGCTAATAAAGGAGCCAGCAATGAGGCGCAGGTTATTATAAAGTTACGCCGCGCCTAGTTTCGTCAAAAAAGTTGCTGATTTATTAAAAAAAGGAAAAGGAAAAGAAAAGCAAAGCTCAACAAATAAAAATGGCGACAGATGTAGCAAAGACCTTAAATTCGATTTTTGTTCAAAGCTGCAATCGAAGAGTTCTTTAAGATTAAAAATCGTCCATTTCTTCTTCTTCTTTGTTGCTCTTGCTTTCCCCCTCTACCAGTTCGATTCTTTGCTGAATCTCGCGTGGTTTTTTTCCTTCGCTAATTTTTTTGTTTTTGGAAAAAAGGGAGAAAATTCATCTTCAACTAGTTTACTCGATCCATGTCGTCGGATATAAGCTAAACCTTTCTGCAAGATTTTTTTCATTCTTTTTTTTTCCCACTCTCTGTAGTTTCTCATTTTCAGTTGGACGACTGGGGAAAAAGTTTTCTTACTCTAGCAGAAAAAAGATGGATAAATGTAGAAGCTTCAACGGAGTTTATTGTGACGAGAGTATCGTGATTGATCTCGCGGGTTTAATCTTGTAATCGGCATCTGCGACGAAAGTTATTAGTGGAGTGTTACTGTTTTTCTTTTCTTGACTGGAGAGGGCATGGGTACGGATAGTTTGTTGTTGGCAACGGTGAGACCATCGATTAAACCGCGAGCAGGGCTGAGGAAGAAACAGGCTGGAAGAGGCTCTTATAGAGGAAGCTAGGGGATTTTTTTGCTAGCAAAGAGAAACTTAGGGGGGTTGATTTTGTTTTAAAAATTTGCTGTTTTTAGGTCGAGCGAGGGGCGCTTTTGAACATAATAAAAAGGTTGGATTCTTTGTTGAGGGGAAGATGCAGATGGCTAGCAGTTCAAGTGGCTGTGGGTTGAACCAAATACTTAGAAGTCTCTGCCTCAATACCGAGTGGAAGTACGCCGTCTTTTGGAAGCTTAAGCATCGTGCTCGAATGTCAGTACACTTTTCAAACTTTTTTTTTTAGTTTTTTCTTTTTAGTTGATCATCATATTTGATTAATTGATTGATTTGCAGTATTCTTCTTCTTTTTTTTAGCATAGATACTAAAAAGAAAAAAAGGTATAAACATATTGTTACGTTCCTTGAGGTCAGCTAATTTGGAGTTTCTCTGCATCTAATTATTTGTAGTTTTCTTTAGCTAAGATGAATTGGGGTATTGGCTACTTTTAAGTTCGCTTGTAGTTGACATGTTCTTAAATTAGGTCGGAATGGCTTTGATCCCGGAATTGACATAGAATATTATTAACGCATGTATGTTTGCTTCCCATTTATCCTCTATTTGTAGTATTTAATTGCACGCTTTGTAGAAGCTACCCAGATTAGCATACTTGTTTTTTAGTTTTTCTTTAATTCCCTTTTTATTTAGAAAAACAATTGAGGGATATTTTCTTTTAATGTTCTCCCCTATGGTGTTGGTTTTTGGAATATCAGACTTAGATTACCAGAAGAGAGTAAATAAAAGGTCAATCTGTTTAACCCTTAATTGTGTGGGATAGCATGCTGGCCTTGGGTGAAAATAAAATGATGTGTTTGCTCGAGTGGTGTTCACAGTTTTGAACTTCTTGCAGGGTGCTGACTTGCGAGGATGCTTATTATGACCACGTTGACCAACATGATCCTTTGAATCATTGTTTCCGTGATACAGTAGAAAGCTTGGACAGTGGATACCATTCACGTGACGCCCTTGGTTTAGCTGTGGCAAAAATGTCTTATAATGTATATTCTCTAGGGGAAGGGTATGACTCCATCCACTGATTAGTATGTTGTGTTTGGTATGCTTTTGGCATTTTTAATGCAATACTTAAAAAAGATACCAACCGACAGGTCAAAGATAAGGGTCTTGTACACTAAAAAAAAGGTCTTGTGCCTCGTCAATCCTTGTGCATTGTTTTTTTTAAGTGCGCATTGATCAAACAATCTCAGTTTTGAAAGCTCTAATTTATTTAGTTATGATAAGAATCAAATTTCAAAATTGGAAAAGAAGTGGGTAATTAACATATGTATGTAACTTATGCAACAACACTGGTTAGTATTCATCTATTGTTTTACAGGATTGTTGGCCAAGTTGCTGTTTCCGGAAAGCATCAGTGGATATTTGCAGATAAGCATGCTAACAGCTACTGCTCATTGTTTGAGGTGATGAACTGTACAAAAAATGATAGCAAACGCGCTGTTTCATAGTTGTTTTTGATATTATGTTTCATCACTCATACTGTTTTTTCTTTCTTTCTTTTTCTGCCTTATTGGGTTTGAATTTCAGTTCTGTGATGGGTGGCAAAGTCAATTTGCGGCGGGGATCAGGGTATGAATGCATTTTCTTTCCGCTTAATAATAATTGCAGTGCAATTTATTTTAGTTTGATGATTAGGGTGGGTCATGGAAGTCAACAGCTAATAATGTTTCTTGGTAAATGGACAAAACCTTTTTGTAGAGGTTATAAATTATAATTTTAGTGAAGGCATTTTATTTCACCTCAGTTTTACAATTTACTGAGCTTGTTTATTTGAAGTCGGTGCAAAAAGAATATAAGTTTTAGGTTTCTTATTTTGTCTATGACTATATGGAGACTTTGGAAGTATATACACTTCAAAATGTAGGTTAAAACTGCCTTTTAATTAGAATTTTTTTTTTTCGTTTCTATATATATGTTTTCTGTGTTAATAGGAATACTTTCAATTTTTTGCAGACTATTGTTGTTGTTTCTGTTGTTCCACATGGAGTTGTGCAGCTTGGCTCCTTAAATAAAGTAAGCTGACTTTCAATTGTTTTGGTGTATTCTACTTTATCAATGCTTGCTACGTCACTGTATCAATGTATATACTTTGAGTTGATGTTGGTGCAATTTGGGTGTTTGAGATGGATATCTTTAACCTTCTAAGAATTTTGTTTTGTACAAATGTATCTTCATGGCTTGAAAAGATGTCATTACTTTTGAGGCAGTGTCAATAAAGTAGTTAGCTTTTGAGATCCTTGTAATTTTCATGCACTTTTTGCTTCATGTCTATTACTGTTCTATTTTAATCCCCCCCTAGAACTCTCAATTCTATACTTTTTTGTTTAATTAGATGGAATAAACTGCCCATTTCGGTAAGAAACATTCATGACTTGTTAACAAAGTCATTTTTGCCTGATAAACATGTCTTATAACAATAACGTTTTTTTAGTATTCTGTTCCAATTATTTGGTGTGCAACTTTTCATGTGCTTCAGGTTTTTAGCTAGGTTCTAGTAGAGATGTCAGTTTGACATTTATTGTCATTGTTGCCAGTGTGATGTACATGCTCTAACTTTTTCAAGCTTATCGTTTAGACTATATTTTCATTTATTTGAGTGGAGCAGGTATATGAGGATGTGAAGCTGGTGAGTCGCATCAGAAATGTATTTTTTGCACTTCAAGAGTCTTCTGTAGGACATATATCCAGCTCAGTGGAATGTAGCACGAAGAGTTCGTTATTTAAGGTACGATTACAGTTCTCTTTCTGTCTCCTTTGTGTTTTCGCCTGTACTTGAGTGTATGCATGTGCATATGTATATGAAACTTTTTTTTTAATTTCCCTCTCTTTAACCCTAAAATATATCATATGGTAATAATATTTTTTGCTCTTTCTTTTGCAGCAAGATTTTCCAACAAAAGTGTTAGATTCAGAAGTTATTCCTTTAGATAAAGCTGTACAAAAAGAATGGCCACATGGGTTGTTGCCCGAGTTAGCACATCGCCAAAAGTACAGTGATAGTTCATTTGTTCTTCCAGTGTCCAATAATCATCCCAAACAGGCAACTCAAGTGGAAAATAAGCATGAAGGGCTTCAGCTATCCTCAGCAGCAAGTGATTCCAACTTGGAGCATCAAAATCAGTTGGGGAGGCATTTGATAAACAATGCGGTATGCAAAGGGGAGACTGATGGATGGAAAGATATGAGTTTGGAACCTGAAAATGTCTATGCTAACCGTCCTGCTGTGGGTAGTGTAAATTTATATAATGTTGCACTTCCAGCTGAACAGTATGGAGCCGGTCATGCATGCTACTCCTCAAACTTACTTAGCTCTGCGCTTAGTGACATGGTTAAGCCAAGTGGCTTGAGTTCTTATCCAAATGTGGTGCTGGACATACCCAAATCTTCAAACATAAAATTTCAAAATAATTTGAGGTTGAGGAATCAAAATGATTTAGTCGATATGGACTCAATTAATACTTCCTTTAAGTTTTCTGCTGGTTATGAGCTCTATGAAGTGCTTGGACCAACTTTTTTGGGGAAGAGTATCTATGCTGATAGCCAGGTAGATAATGCAGAAGCTGGAGCTAATATTGAAATGCAAGAGGGGATGAGCTGCAGCCAGTTGACTTTCGAATCTGGCTCAGAAAACCTCGTAGAAGCAGTAGTGGCAAATGTTTTCCATAGTGGCAGTGATATGAAAAGCGAGAGATCGTTTTGCAGATCAGCACTGTCGTCACTGACAACTGGAAATACACCGGAGCCTTCTATCCTAACAAAGTCTACTATTAATTCTGCTGATTATTCAATTAACAAGTCCTCTCTTGTGGAAGTTAACAAACAGAATTGTCTGAATTCATCAGGCTTATGTGGATCAATGTCTTCAAAAGCACATTCTTCTCCTTGCCTTAGCAATTGCGAGCAGCTTGAGAGGTCTTTAGAGCCATCTAAGAATAACAAAAAGACGGCTAGACCTGGTGAAAAACCCAGGCCTAGGCCAAGGGACAGACAACTCATTCAAGACCGTATTAAGGAGCTGAGGGAGCTTGTGCCTAATGGAGCAAAGGTAATTTTCTTGCTGTTCAGATGAGTGTTGGATTCTGATGGTTGCTGTTTCTGCCCTTATAAATGTGTCTGCTAACATTTCAAGAAAAAAACTGCAGTGCAGTATTGATTCATTGCTGGAGCACACAATCAAGCACATGGTTTTTCTGCAAGGTATCACTAAGCATGCTGACAAGCTTGGTAAATGTGCTGATTCAAAGGTAAAGGGCCCATGCAATTTACTGGTTAATGATCTTTGTGGCTCAGTAAATTAGAAACTGGGAATATCTCCATGCTGTTGTCAAGTAATGTGGTATATGATATAAATGGGCTCATTTCAGTTTTCTAGGAATTTTCTTTTTGGTGCTTATAGACATATATTTATAGATTATTGTCCGTTTTCATTTAATAGTAAGATGATTACTGATCACCAGCTGAAATCAAGTTTTTTCATGATTTTTCAAGTGCCTGTTAATGCCAAAACTTGTTTGAACTTGTTGGTATACAATAAGTAAGACTTGGTGGAAACACTTATCATCTAGAGGAGCACACTGTGTTTTGTCCTTGTCAGTGAGCATCTTATTTTGGTTTTGTAGATGTATGAAAAGGGAGCTGGCATTCTTGGATCGTCCAATTATGAACAAGGTTCAAGCTGGGCTGTGGAAGTCGGAAGCCATCTAAAAGTTTGCTCAATAGTAGTGGAGAATATAAACAAAAATGGGCAGATGCGTGTAGAGGTACGTATAGGGTTTTTCATCTGTGTAGGTTTTGACATTCTTGTAGTTATTATTTGTTATCATTTAATTCGTGGGTCCACTGCTTAGTGTAAGCTTAGGGAAGTTTTGTCCACTACTTCAGTGGTTGTAGTTATTGTTTGCTAAGTCTATGATCTATGTTATTTTAAAAAATTTCTTCATTATGTCACTGTTATCAGTCTATCAGAAATATGTTAGAAAACCAAGAAGAATCAAGTGAATAACAAAGGATTTTTCACTTTTTACTCATTGTTTTATTGTTTATTATTGGTGTTCTAATTATTTTAGTTGATTCATGCAGCTGTTGTTTGACGAATGTAGTCATTTTCTTGAGATAGCCGAGGCAATCAGAAGCTTGGGCCTGACCATTTTAAAAGGGTTTACAGAAGCGCATGGTGATAAGACTTGGATATGTTTTGTGGTTGAGGTAGGGTTTGTTCTCCGGGATGAATTTTCTGGCATGTTAGGGCTTGCACATGAAATTTATTTCCCTTTGTAGGATCATTTGGGCATCTTAATGGACATCTTTAATAGTTTAGTATTTCATTGCCGCAACATCCAAGCACACTTTCTATTTCGTAAAGTTCAAAGTTCCATCTCCTACGTGCACTGAATCTATCATAAGCAATTGTGTCAGACCAAAATAATAGGAATGTAAACTAGTGGACACAATCAACATCTTGTAACGTGTCCTTGTTGCCTTCTTATTTTGAGGCTGTGGTCTGTGTTTTCCATCAGTTATGTGCCTGCCGAAAACATACACACGGGATGCTAATGGAGCATGTTATTAGCTTCATCTTGATATTTATGAATTTTATGCATTAAATCTATCATAAGCTATACCCCCTAAACTCCATGCATGTATGAATTGCATTTGTAAGTCCTAAGCAGTTCAACTTTTAATCCTCTTTCAACTTTGCTTCCTTTTTTTTTTTACAAAACTAATATCCAGTTCTGAACACATTGCAGGGACAGAACAAAGTTTTTCATCGAATGGATATCTTATGGTCTCTAGTGCAAATTTTGCAATCCAAGGCTACAAGCTAGCGGCAATGGCTTGTCACCTCTTGGAGACTGGAACATTGGCTCCATTTGTAAAATAGTGAGTGGTTTGTGATTTTTGATTGGTCTATGGTTTTTGCCTCTTATGTTTGTCTCCCCATCCCATAAGAAATATATATAGAGGGACAAAGGAGAGAAAACATACTTTATAAACGTGTGGATGAGTTCTTTTTTGCTTCTGTACTTCATAGTTTGTGGGAAATGCCATCTAAAGATTTCTTCCCTCGCTTGGATATTTTCCTTCGGTTTCTGCTTTAATCAGAGCTCTTCTATTGGTGCAAATTATGTTTTAAATCTTTTTTGATTCAACTCGTTCAAATACTTGTAGATAAATATAGTTAGTTAAATTGGTACACCTAACTAAGAGATATAAGACAAAGAATCTTGCCTCATTTCCACAACTAGTCTTTCGCCTTTTGAATCAGACCAATGTCCTTCAAGACCATAACTAACCTCAACCGTTTATCCATACAAGCAACAGCTCTCGGACAACCTCAAACTCTATCTTCAAACATCCAAGCAATCACCCATCAACCAGAAAGAATATATGCCACCATGATTGTCCACGATTTGTGAGTACTAAATATGGTCGTAAAATATGTGTAAGTATATACAATCGAACAAGTAATACAGTGATGAGTGAGTATTGTATCCACATAGATTGAAGGAAATTTATAAGTTCAATCAAAACAAATAACTATGTGTCTGGCAGCAAAAAACATGTGTAGACAATGACAATTGACTCTTAATAAATATATTTTTTCTTTTCTGCCTAGAAATGTCGTCCGAGTTGTCGCGGCATTTACATTTTACTTAGCATTTTCAATTTGTCACGACAATTCTCCTCGTATTTTTGCCTTCAAATCTTGCACATCATTAAACAACACACTTTTCCCGTAATGCAACTCCGTTTTTCACAATAAAATGTCACGACAAAATACATCCACCGCATGCAACTATAGACTCCTAAATACATCTTTATAATCCTATATGAGATTTTAGACAATCAATAATTTAAGTGAAAATATCCTAAATATAATTTTTTTTTACGGAGTTATCAATGATTGAAACACATGTAAACCAAGACCAATTCCTCAGTGCATGCTCCTCTTTTTGCCGCATGGATTTCGCAATTTTGGCATTTACCCAAATGCGAAACCTCAATGTCTTTGTCTACAAAATCAAAGGTCTTATTCATTGTCATGATCGTTTTGCAGCTTCATATTATAACAAACTGTGCTCGGGGAGCTGTAGTTTGGCCACGAGTTTCACTTTTTCTTCGTTAGTTAAGGCTTGTTGTTTGGTTTCTGAATTTGGCTTCGGAGAAAGTGTTCAAGGCCATGTTTGGAAACATGGGTTTACGTCACATGTCTTTGTTCAAAATGCTTTGATTGGTTTTTACGCTAGTGTTGGGAAAAAATTTTGAATCGAGAAAGGTGTTTGATGAAATGCCTGAACGAGATATTTTCGCATAGACGACGATGATTTCGGGTTTCTTGAAAGCTGGGGATTTGAGTTCTTTGAGGAGATTGTTTGTTGAAACTCCTGAAAGGAGTACTGCCACGTAGGACGTTATGATTGATGGGTATGCGAGAGTAGTGATGTAGAGTCAGCTGAGTTATTATTTAATCAAATGCCTGTGAAGAATTCGATTTCTTGGACAACGATGATCAACTGCTATTCTCAGAACAAGCAATTCGGACATGCATTAGCCCGTTTCGAGGAAATTAGGCGATATAAGGTCAGTCCAGATGAAGTGACATGGCTAGTGTTATTTCTGCTTGTGCTCATCTTGGGGCACTCGACTCTCTAGACAGGAAAGTAAATACATAATTATTTAATGCAAAACTCATTTGATCTCGATTTCTGTATAGGATCTGCATTAATAGATATGTATGCTAAATGCGGGAGTTAAGAGATGTTGCTTCTGGTGCTCTTTAAATTAAGAGAGAAAAACCTGTTTTGTTGAAGGGCTTGCAATTCACGGTCATGCAGTAGAAGAACTGGCAATGTTGGACGGATGGAGAGGCAGCGTGTCGAAGCAAATGGGGTTACTTTTGTTAGTGTTCTTAGCGCCTGCACTCATGCAGGACTAGTTAAAGTAGGTCGTCTGATGTTTTTAAGCATGACTCAATCCCCCCTGGAGTCGAACACATTGGATGTATGGTTGCTCAAAGATGATCTGTTCTTGATAAGGAGCATGAAGTCGGAACCAAATTCTGTTATTTGGGCATTGTTAGGTGGTTGTACGGTTCATAAGAATTTGGAAGTCGCTGGGTTTTCTGTGGATGAACTGATGGTTTAGAGCCCAACAATAGTGGCTGTTACACTCTTTAAGTTAACACGTCTGCCAAAGTTAATGAATGGGGCCAGGTTGCAAAGATCAGGCAAAGGATGAGAGAATTAGGCGTAGAAAAGAGATGTCCTGGATCTAGTTGGACCGAAATGGATAACAAAATTCATCAATTCGTGCCATTGGATAAGTCCCACCTTGCTTTAGATGAGATCTACTGGATTGTGGTCGAATTAGACGTGCAAGTGAAGATAGCCGGCTATGTACCTGCAACTTGGGTCATTGATATACAAGGTTAGTCTTCATAAGAGGAAATGGCATTTAAACCAACCACAGATCGTGAAAGCTCACGCTTACGATTGACCCTTTGTAAGGAAAGTCTCTGGCGAAGCAAAAACAAGAAAGCAAGAATTAGATGTAGTTGGAAGGCTCGTGCAACTATAAACTCTTGAAACTTGTAATAAAATTATTTCCTTTTTAACGGAATATTTTAACGGTCGCTACGGTTGAAGAACTTAAAATGGTAACGTTTTTAAATTGTAACGTTAGATACATGGATTGACCGATAAAAAGTTTAGGCACCTAAATGAAAAAAATAGTATAGTTTAGACAATTTCTTTTTTGTATTAAGCTTTCCCTTTTTGTGCACTTGTTGCATTTTGTTTTTCGTGACATACAGGATGACTAAGTGCAACATCTCGATCGAAGGAGAGGAATGAAATTCTTCTAACAGACTGGTAAGCATGTAAAGTTTATAGTGTATGCTGTGTTTTAAATGTTAAATGATTTATCATTCCAAAATGTTATACTGATAAATTTTTATGTTCTTTCCATGTGGCTAATTCTTTACTTGATATAAATGCATGAAACATAGGATAAGTTCCTTGTTAGGAGAAGTTAATCTAGTTGGAAACCTATTATCTTGCTGTTAATTAATGCTCTTGTTATGCAGCTGAAATGGCCATTATCTCATGCTTCTAATATATTTACTCGATTCGGCTGTCAATGTTGGACACTAGTAGTTACCATTTTCTAAGTTTCTCCACGTATTTAGATGATCTTTGGTGATCATATTCTTATATTTATGTGTCGAATATAATATGACATGAATACTTTAAGATAAATGAAGAGTTCGGATACATTTTTCTAACTATGTTTTTTTTTTCAATTCACACATTATTTTTTGAATATTCTCTACTAATACCGTTTGCCACGTCAAATTTAAGTTCGTTTGTTTCAATACAGTAGATTTCGACAAATAAATACCTTAAAATAAATTACATTTTTTGAAAAATCATTTTAGAAAATCACTTTAGGGTGAGTGTTATTTATGTTGTGATTTTTTATTATTTTAAAGAACAATATCATTTGGTGTGGATAGTTTGTGTCCTAGTTTACTTAATTCTTCCGTTGGATAAATGCATGATTGTGAGCCAAATTCTGTTGTTATATTATGTATATGAATATATAGATATATAGAATAAACAAATGATGACAGGTTTCCCCACCATTACCGACCTGGACAAAAAAAGAAGTAAAAGAAAAGGTATGGCTATATATGAATTGGTTAGGGTTAGGCTAAGCTAGGGGGTGGTGTCTTTGTCTTAGCACCCAAGGTAAAGTTGAAGCCACGTCGATCATAAAAGCAAGTTTGGGTTAATTGTTTCCCTTTAAGAAAGACCACTTCTTCCCCTCAATGTACATTGGCATGAACTTTCTACCTAACAGTTAATAATTAGTTATATTTAAAGTTAAATTAGATGTTATCTCTTTATTTGGTGTTTATTTAGTTATTTTATGAATCTATTCTTAATTTGGATCATCGAATTTATTGTTTTATAATTATAAGAGCTAACAATTACTCTAAATAGGTCACGTTTGAGTCATGATAAAGTTAGTTTGTTAACATGTCGTCATTGTTATATGTATTATGTTAGTGTTAACAATGTTTATTCTTCACCACTGACCATGATATTTATTAGGTTTAAGGGTCATTGTTGCACCTGTAATGAACCTAATTTATCAATTTTGTCCATATTGTTTTTTCATCAATTTTGTCCATATTGTTTTTTCATCAATTTAGCTCTCGGAGTTGTTTAAGGTATTCATCTTAGCCCTTGAAGTCCGTTGACCGTTTTAACTAACAAAGCTGTGAGGCTTATGCGTTTGTGGATTTAGTGATTATGTTAAAATATTTTATTATACACAATTATTAGAATAAATTCCCAAACATTTATTATTTATTTCAGTGAGATCAAGGGATTAGGTTAAATTTTTGGGATTTTTTTTAACCGTTGTATTTAGTAAATATTTTATTATTTATTTTCTTAATACATGTCACATAGTCACGTTTGTAATATTGGTTGATTTGGAAATTACTAGTGTTGATAAAAGTAGGAGACTAACAAACTTTTAGTCAAAACGAACTTCGAGAGTTAAATTGATACAAAAAACGATAGAGACGAAATCGATAAATTGAGTTTACTATAGAGGCAACAGTGACCCTTAAACCTATTTATTATCTCCATTATTTTTTGAATTTGATTGAATTTTTTAATCATTTCTTTTTCTTTGAACAATTTCTACCTAAGAAAAGGAGGAGAATAATTTTACTCCTAATAGGTATTGAACCCACAACTTAAGGGAGAGAAGAAATACATACCGTACCGAGAGCTTTTAACCACTTGTTAAATAGGTGTCAACTGATAAATTTTTCAATCATTTCTCAATCTGGTCTTGTAGTATTTAATTTCTAAATTATGTTTTATAATGATTTTAGGAGAAATAACAAGTTAATATAATCAGTCTACTTTAATTTTAATAAATTGTATAATTTTAATATTTTTATTTATTCAATAAAAGTATCGACTTAATTTTTTTTATATTATTTGACTACACTTTTGGAAGCGTCCTATTTGTTGATATTATCCTCAGAAATTAGGCGTTCAACTCTAAACTATGGGCTCTTCCGCGTTTGAGCTTTGTCTTC